ATAATAATAATAATAGTAATAATAATAATAATAATAGTAATAATAATAATAATAATAATGATAATAATAATAATAATAATAATAATAATAATATCTAGATCCTTTTCTTCAGGAAACATGTCTAATGTAAGTTGAAATAGTGCTCTTTACCTTCAACGTAATGTTTAATTTTCCCATGGCAGAATACATGTGATCAGTCCCTAGAGTATAATCTGTGCATGAAAATGACACACTAATGTATAAGTATAGACAAATCTTTCTCTAGAAAATGACACGTGGTCTCAGTTTGAAAACATTACGTCCAAGTTGGTCTATTTAGGAATAATCCCTGGCACACATGCATGCCAGTATCGTCCATCATTTAAGTTGGCTAGCGCTATATTGTAGTAAGGGGTACTACCCGGTAACCACTACTTGAGATAACAGGTCATGTCCCTTATCCCATGGGACCATCGTTTTGGAATGTTTAAAATGTGTTAAAGGTAAAGAGGTGTATTGCTCTATTAAGGCACTTATTCCGTTGATCGTATAGATCTTATAAAACTTTGAATCAAACTGAATAGTGTACTGGGCTTATCTTAAAGAGAATATTGTGCGCAGTAGAAAACAAAAATGTTGATTCTTGCGCAGTATATGTTAATGAATTATTTATTTATATTCATGGCACGGATGTATAGCATAAAAGAAATCGATGAAAACTAATTACAATATTAATATTCATAAATAAAACTCCTAAATATAACCAAAAGCCAAAATCAAATCACGCGAAATCTTTCTCACGAACGCACTTACACACGAGGTTTATGGCTACGCACGAGCTTAAAAACCGCTGTATACTAATGCCTTGAGATTTTCATAAGACGCGTCTGCCCATCTGCCCAAGTGTTTACTTAAATACTACTCACAGGTAGCTCAAGGCATCAAGTGTTTACTTAATCCATAATATACTACTCACTGGTAGCCCAAGGCATCAAGTGTTTACTTATCCCATAATATACTACTCACAGGTAGCCCAAGGCATCAAGTGTTTACTTAACCCATAATATACTACTCACGGGTAGCCCAAGGCATCAAGTGTTTACTTATACCATAATATACTACTCACGGGTAGCCCAAGGCATCAAATGTTTACTTAACCCATAATATACTACTCACGGGTAGCCCAAGGCATCAAGTGTTTACTTAACCCATAATATACTACTCACTGGTAGCCCAAGGCACCAAGTGTTTACTTATACCATAATATACTACTCACGGGTAGCCCAAGGCATCAA